GCTTGAGGATTTTAATTGTCGATAAAATTTTATGCAGAGGAATATTTGGGTTTAACGCGCTTTAGATCGGTGCAACACAAAGCCCAAGTTGGGCAAATTTTTAATTTATTTAGGCTTCCACAGTCGTTCCGTTTTTAGAAGACGCTTGATTTTACAAACTCTCAAAGTTTTATAAAAATCGCACGGAATCCTGGTTTTTGCCAGCTTAGTGAATGAGTCTCAAACTGGATGTTTTTATGCAACTGAGTTCTGCCCTTTAAAAATTCGCATTTTACGAACTGAAACAAGTAGCAACTTGAAAATTGCGGCGTCATTAGAAGATGCTTGACTCGAAAGATATGGAAAGTTTCATTACAATGACCCCAAGTTCTGATTTTTGCTAGTTTGGTAAATATCGGCCTTAAAACGGACGTTTTCCCTCGAATGCAGCTCTTCATTAAACATTCACATTTGCCAAGTTATAGCAAGTACGCGCTTGCAATTTTTCCGGTCTTTAGGCCACTTTTAGATCAAAAGATGCTGAAAGTTTGATAAAAACATACAGAATTCTGACTTTTGCCTGCGGTCTCAAAAGATGTTTTTGTCCATTTGCGCTGCTTCTTTTAAAAATTCGCATCGTTCTCAATAAAACAAGTAGCAACTTGAAATTTTTACCATCATTACAAAATACTGCACCCGGAAAATGGTGAAAGTTTAATTACAGAAACTCGGAAATCAAATTTTTGCCGGTTTTTAGTAAATATCGGCCTCAAACTGTGCGATCTCTCAACTACGCTCGACCTTTAAAAATTCACATTTTGCAAAATCAAAGAAGCAGCAATGTGAACTTTTCACGATTTTTAGAACGTAGTTCACACTAAAGATGCTGAAAGTTTCATGAAAATTGCCATACATAGTGATTTTTGCAAGTTTAGTAAATATTGGCTTCGAAATGAATGTTTTTACCCAACTGCGCTCTCCAATTTAAAAAATTTCCAAAATATTCCAAGTTTTAACTGGAAACTTCTACCGTCTTGAGCAGAGACTTGGTTCAACAGATGTGCAAAGTTGTGTTCCAAATGCGACCTTCACTAAGACGCAAATTAAATTCGAAAGTTAATTAAGAGTGTGCCAATCATGTAGCCTCAAGTAGCTCAATTGGCTTACGCAATCTACACTGTGTGAACCAAACGGTTACCTAATTGAACAACTCGAAGACGGAAAAATGTACGAACAAAAGCGCATTGAATTCGCCTTATTGAAATGAATGCCTTATTTGCATGTCACCAAGTTCCGGGGGAACAAACAGGTACTTTTTGACCCACATTTTATACACGATGAAGTCGAATAATTCATACGCATTTGCCTTATTTGCCCATTGCTTGTTCGGTGAGGAAAAATTGAATTTTCCCATCTGCGAGCGCAAAATGTGCCATTGTTCAGCTCAACTGGGATGAAGAACACTCTTATCAGATTGTTGCCGTATGTGAGACCCAAATGGGGCTTTTAAAGCCACGACTGTTAGGAAATGGAGTTTGTTTGTCTTTGGCAATGGCCTAAATTCTTCGATTACCACTTTCGGTCCCATTTTGTCAATATTTGCCAACGGATGGGCATTTAATCACATATTTGAACAGCTTGGGCTGGGGAACTAGTCTCCAGGTATAACGTTCATTAACAATTACTCTAGAATTGTTTTATCTGCTGTTGCCTCAAGGCAATTAATAAAGTCATTGATCTGGAACTCGTCAGTAGGCAAAAATGCCGGAATATAAACACTTCAGTGGCAATTAGCGTCGAAAATGAAAACATTGTTATCGGTTTAAATGCCAGAAGTGAATGTGGTTGATGACACTATAGGTTGAGCCAATAGATGCAATTTACCCAACTCCTCGCTCTCGTTATCGATACATTTTTTTTTTAATTTAGAGTGCAATTATTCTCTAATAATTGGCTCCAGATGTACATTTCTCACTGTGTTTATTGCTGCCATTCTGGGAAACCATAAATTGTTTATCTTAGAATGTTATGACTGACTAATGATTATTCCAGTGTTGGAATGCGGATAACAGAAGCAAACTATCTGCTTATGATGTGGACATGAACCATTCAAAGACACGCTTTTTGGTTTATGCAGGGGAATGGAAAGTTTGAGATTTTTGGAAATATTGGCACCATTGCCGGCAGTGAAATCATGCAAATACGCCTATTGGATTTAGGCCATAGGCTACAGGAAAATAGATTCGGATTTTCTGAAAGATTTGGCAACGTGGATTTTGTAATTTTATATCATCGTTGAATTGGGGAAGATTTGACGAACTTCAAAGTAGAAGATCGGGAAGAAAACACTCTCGATACGTCGAAGGCGCTTGAGATGCAGCTGTGAGGCCCACATTTTAGCAAAACTCATGCAAAACCCATGCGATTTTGTCTAAACTCTCTACATCTTTAGAGTCGACTGTCTTTAATATTCTCTGAAAATTTCAACTTGCTACTTGCTTTAGTGTGGAAAGCGCGGATTTTTAAAGAAGAGGGTGCAGTTTAGTCCAAGTATCCATTTTGAGGTCGACATTTCCTAAGGTGGCCAAAACGAGCATTTTGCCCGATTTTTATTCAACGTTTAGAATCTTTAGCACTCATGTGTTTCCTATGGATGGTAAAACTTTCAAGTTGCGACTTGCTCTAATTTGGGGTGAAGAGGAATTTTTAAAAGAAAGAGCGCCGTTGAGCAAAAACCTACATTGAGACCGATGTTTACTAAGCTAAGAAAAATCGGGATTTGCGGCAATTTTTATGAAACTTTCCAGGCCGTTAGATCCAAGCGTCTTCTATATGTTCTGATAGTTTCAAGATGCTGCCTGTTTTAGTGTGGCAACCGTGATTTTTTAAGAAGAGAGCTGTTGGGTAAAAGCTTCCATTTTGAGATCGATTCTTGCTAAGGTGGTAAAAATCAGAATTCCACCGCATTTTTATGAAACTTTTCGCATTGCCATCTCTAAAGTGTTTTCTAGGGATGGTGAAACTTGCGTGAAGTTTCTACTTGCTCCCATTTGGAGTCCACGAATTTTTAAAAGAAAGAGCGCAGTTGAGTGCGCATGTCATGTGCGACCGATATTGACTAATCTAAAAAAAATTAGGATTTTTTCCGATTTTTATGAAACTGTCAAAATATTTAGAACTAATTGTCTGCTATACCTCCTGAAAATTTCAAGTTGCTACTTGTTAGATAGAAGATAGTGCGTTGGGTCAAATCATTAATTTTGATATTGTGAAGGTGGTAAAAATGAGAATTTTGTCTGATTTTCATGAAGATTCCATAATCGCTAGTGTGAAAGTGTTTTCTATTGACAGTAAAAATTCAAAGTTGCTGCTTGCTCTAATTTGGAGTCTACTTACGAATTTTTAGAAGAGGGGGCGGGCGCTGTTGGGTGTAAACATATATGATGAGACTGATGTTTACTAAGCTGGCAAAGATCAGGATTTTTGATGATTTTTATTAAACTTTCCAGGTCTTTAGACTCAAGCATTTTCTATATTTTTTGAGAAATTCAAAAAGCTACTTGTTTTTGTGTGGAAACCGTGATTTTTTAAAGAAGAGAGTGCAGTTTTGTAAAACTTGGATTTTGAGGTCGATATTTACACATATGGCAAAAATAAGCTTTTTCCCCTATTTTTATGCAGCTTTTAGAATCTTTAGCGCAAAATGAAAGTATATTTTATAGATGGTGAAAGTTTCAAGCTGCTACTTGCTCTAATTTGGAGTATGCAAATTTTGAGATGCGAGAGCGCAGTTAAGTGAAAACATTCATTGAGACTGGCAAAAATCAGGATTGATTGCGAACTTTGTCAAATTTTCCGCAATTCTAGAATCACGCACGTTTTATAACTGGTGCGAATGTCAAGTAGCTACTTGCTCTAATATGAAAAACACGATTTTTTAATAGAAAGAATTTGGAAAAAATCATCCATTTAGGGATCGATGTGTACTGAGCGTTAAAAACTTAGAATTCTGGGTAATTTTTATAAAACTTTCCTGGGCTTTAGAGGCAAGTATTTTTTATAAAAGGCGAAACTTGTAGGTTGGTCCATGCTTTAGTTGGAGAGATACGAATTTTTAAATGTGGGAGCGCGGTTGTGTAAAATTATGCATTTTAAAACCGATACTTCCGAAGCGAAAAAATCGTGCCATTCCAAGCTATGTGTACAGAACTTTCCTGGGCTGTAGATCCAAGTATTTTCTCAAAAAGGCGAAACTTTCAAGTTGATCCGCGCTTTAGTTGGGAAAATGCGAATTTTTAAATATGGAAGCGCAATTGGGTGAAAGCATGTGAAGAGCGATACTTCCTCAGCTGGTAAAACTCGATATTCTGCGGGATTTCTATGAAATTTTCGGCATTTTTAGGCATAAGCGTCTGTGTACAAATAGCGACTCCTTCCAGTTTCTACTTGTTTTACCTTGAAAGGTGCGGACTTTTTAAATAGAGGGCACATTTAGGCAGAACCTGCCAAATAGCCCACAAAATGAAAAAAATTGAGTAAAAATATGTCACGAACAATGCATAGTAAAACTGATTAATAATTGAAAATAATCAACCTTTATTGCAATTGGGCAACAAGGCCTGCGAGCCTAATTAAGCCTCCGTAATGCTCGAAGCCTCGAATCAATGCCTGAATTAATCATCACTAATCTACCCTAAAGATAATCACATTAAGCGGGCCATTTAAACTAAATCCATTAACAGTTTGGCGCAGAATTCTGCATCCTTGGAACACAAACAACAATTATTCAGTTAATTTAAAGTCGAGCATTGATAAACCCTTCAACACGACATTGAGAACAAAAGACCAGTTTTTGATACTCTATTAGAAAGACGACGGTTTCAAGGCGTGTTCTCATAAACAATTAAAGAGCTGCAGAAAAAGCACCCAATTAACCTTCTACTAGCACACTTGCGAAGCATTGAAACTGCTTGACAAAAGCCGCAAAAAATGCTCTACAATTGGCAATGGTTTGTTTTCAGGACCTCGTTCTGCAGCAAGGCAACATTCCCAAAGAAACGACTGAAATCTTCCTGAGCGGCGGCCACTCGATTGTCTTCAACAGCAAAACGTTCAACAGTCTCAAAGCACTGGCTTTGTTGCGAATCGAGAAGGTGCGAAGCGTGACCATCGAGCCCAAAGCCTTCTTCAACATTCAATCATCTAGTCTACTCGTCCAGATACTAAGCTGTGATGCACTCTTACTTAGGACTCAAGCTTTCGAAGATATGCAGGTAATTGCGGAATGAAAAAAATGTCTTCTACCAATTGCTTTCGCTGATTTTGAATCGAAAATGCAAAAAACAATCGTTGCAAATGATCAATTTGGTATATGAAAACCTGCAAGTTTACAGCGATAGATTTGACTAAAATAAGTGAACTCTAATTTCATTTCAGGGTTCCTTATCGACTGAAATAATGAAAACTAAATACGTAAAACTAGAAGAATCGCCCTTTAGCAAGTTGAGCAACTGCACATTTGAAGACATTGACGAGGTCGCTTTGGAAAAGGGCGCTTTTGAAATAAAAAATTTAGGAAGCATTGGCCGACATGGACCAGTCTCAGTGGTAAGTCATTAGGCATGGAAAGACGCAATTGGTAAGCGTTTGAATTTACTTGCAGGTGCTGTTTGAAAACGTCTTCATTCTGGACATCCAAAAGGAGGTTTTTCGGACTTCATTGGCCCAAATATCGTTCAAGGACTGCCGCATTGGGAATATCAATTTTGAGGCCTTTACATCGGCTCAAATATCAACGGTAAGCAGTAGAAGCTGACGTACGCTTTCAGTATTTTGAAACCCAAGTGTCTTCTAAAGATGGTGAAAGTTTCAAATGTTTACTTTTTCTGGTTCAGAAGTTGCAAATTTTTGAAGGCGAAGCGCAATTTTACCAATTTTATTGAAAATATTCACCATCTTTAGAGCCAAGGGTTTTCTAAAGGTGCTGAAAAGCTGGTATTTGGTGTAGTTTGGAGTATACGAATTTTTAAAAAAGAGAGCTTAGTTGAGTGTGAACATCCATTATGAGATTGTTATTTACTAAAACCTCCGTTATGAGCCCGAAAGTTGTCAAAAATCAACATTTTGGGCAATTTTTATGAAACTCTCCGCATCTTTAGAGTTGAGTGTGTTTTAAATATGGTTGAAATTTCAAGTTGATTCGAGGGGTAGTTCGGCAAATATGCATTTTTAAACGAGAGAGCGTAGTTGAGTGCAGACATCCATTTTGCGATTGTTTGTACTACGCTAGCAAAAATCTGAATTCAGTGTGATTTTTATGAACATTTTAGCATCTTTAGAGTCAAATGTTTTCTAAGAGTGGTGAAAGATTCAAGTTGAATGCTGGTTTAGTTTGGAGTGGCCGAATTTTTAAAGGGAAGACAGTGGTTGAGTGAAAACATTCATTTTAAGATCGATATTTACTAAGCTTGGAACATTAGGATTGATTGCGATTTACCTAGTTTGCAAAAATCAGCATTCCGTGCGATTTTTATGAAACCTTTTGAATCTGTAGCGTCGAGTGTCTTCTAAGGATAGCGAAAAATTCAAATCCATACTTGGTGTAGTTTGGCGTATACGATTTTTTCAATGAGAATGCGAAGTCGAGTGAAACCATCCATTTTGAGACCGGCATCGGGACAAATCAGGATTTGGTGCGATCTTTGTCAAATTCTTAGCATTTATAGAGTGAAATATCTTCTAAAGATCGAAAAAATTCCAAGTTGATTTTTGTTCTAGTTTGGTTTACATGAGTAAAAAATGGAGTAAAAACATCAATTTTCGGGTCAATATTTGCTACGCTGGCAAAAATCAGGATTCTATGCGATTTTTATGAAAACTTTAGCCTCTTTGTGGTCAAGTATCTTCTAAAGATGGTGAAAATTTCAAGCTGATATCGGGTCTAGTTGGGAGTATACGAATTTATAAACGCGGGAGTGTAGTTAAGTGAAGACATGATGAAACCGGCAATTACTCCATTGGCAAAAATCAGGATTTCCAGTTAGTTTTATAAAACTTTTCTCATCCCACATCTTAAGTTAAGCGGCCTTTAAGTATAGCGAAAATGTCAAGTTGGTACTTGCGTTCGTGTGGGAGATCGCATTTTCAATCAAGCGAGCGCAGCTGGGTAGGCAAAAACATCACTTGGAGTTCAATTTTAACTAAGCTGCCAAAAATCAGCCCCTTTGTAGATTTCTCTGAAAGTTTTGGCCTATTTAGAATCACGTTTTGTCTAAGGATGGTGAAAATTTCAAGTTGATACGTGCTCTAGGATGGCGTACATAAATTTTTAAATGAGGGGCAACCCTCCATTTTAAGATCCATGTTCATTAAGCTGGCAAAACGCCGTCCTCCAGCAGATTTCTCTGAAACTTTAATCCTGTTTAGAACCAATTGTCTTCTAAAACTGGTGAAAATTTCAAGTTGCTGCTTGCTCCGGTTCGAAGTACACACATTTTCGAAAGGGGAGAGCCCAGTTGCTTAATAACATACATTTTGAGTTCGCATTGGTGTCGGACGCACCTCTGGAGATGCAAGCCACTGGTGTTTGCACAACGGGAAAAGGAAAACATTAAAAGTTACAAACCTGAAAAGCTCAACTCTTTTGCTAAGCAGTGGTTTTTTGACGAATCTATCAAAGTTTCGCTCCAAAGAAGCAACCATTCACCTTTCTTCAACAGATTCAATTTCTGGTGTTGAATTTCAGGTGCTTTTAGTAAACACCAGCATCGAACGAATGGAAACTGGGGCATTCAGCGAACGAATTTTGATTGTGGACTTTCAAATCAGCAAGTGCACAATCCAGACACTCCAGACCAAAGCCATCACCGCTGGCATGGCGAAACTTACCGTTAATCATTCGACGTGAGTTTCTGGATTGCCATAGAAAAATGGTATGTTCAACCGTCCTTTTTTTCCACAGCCTAACGGACATTGAACCCAACGCCATCGCCAGCACAGTAGCCAAAGTGGAAGTTATAGGAAACCAGATAATCAACTTCTTTTCAACTGCCATCACCATCCACAACTGGAACAGCATTATCATGGACCAGAATATAATCAAAAACTTGTACAGCGACTTCATTGTCATCTCGAAAAGTTCGGAAATCGAAGGCTTCTCGTTCAAGGGAAATGAAATTTACAATGCCATGGAAGGCTCTTTGGACTTCATCCAGACAATTGACGAAGGGAAAATGCTGTTTGATGACAACTTTTTCAATCAAGGCTGTGGGTATGTACTTGTCTGTTTAAAAAAAATCCCGGAATTCTCAGCAGCAATTTTCTCCCCGGGCTCTATTCTGTTTCTTCCAGATGTGACCTGCCTGATTGGATCAAGCTCCTTACGAACTCAACAGCCCACACAGCGCTCATAATGGACAGCAGCTTTTGCAGAGTGGACGAGGCCCTGTCGAAGTGCTTCTCCTTGCCAGAGGGAATCATCAACATGCAAAACTTCTCGGAGAAAACCTGCAGCAACAACACGATCTGCGAACCGTACAAAGGGGAAACGCGAACGATCAACACCACCGGGAAAATATTCGTGGACAGCGACCAAAGCCACAAGCAAAGCTGGCTGATTTTCATCATAGTGCTGATCGGGTTCTTCATCATGGCGTTGGTGGGCACCTTTGTGGCCCTCCTGGTCCGTGGAAGCCGCTGGCTGAAGCGCAAAGGTACCCAAATCTTCCCCTCCTAAAGAAGCCCTTTGACTTTTTCCCCCAGGCTATTTCAGGAATCATTACTACAACAACCAGCAAAGCAATGAGGAGGAGGAGGAGGAGAACACGATCGTGACCATCGACACGGAAAACGAGAAGCTGGAAATCCCGCAGGAGCTCACCATTGAGTTTCTCCAAGAATTGTCCAAGAGACTGGATGATCCAGCTACGCACCAAGAGGCCAGCGACATGATCGAGAGGCTCTATGAAATGTTCATAGTGGATGAAAGCTACGAAAACAACAACAGGTGAGCGATTGCTCCAACACACACCAACCCTCCTCCAGCCGTACATCACTCAAACCTTTCCAGGGAGGAAGAGGCGCATCTTTATGAGGAACTGGGCAACCTCAGCTTGCAGATCCCGCCGCCTCCGTACCAAGAACAAGCGCCTGCGACCGCCCAAGTGAGTCAAGCGCCTCCAGAGAACGGCCCCAGAGGGATTCTGAAGCTGATGGAGGAGAAATTCAGCACCAACGAACCAAATGCGAGCAACACGGACTTATCAAACACCTCTACCAGCAGCACCAAGCCGATCCTAACTTCCGACTACTCCGAACCATTGGACAAAGACGTTCATCTGTACTCTGAGCTGAAGGCGCGAGAAGAGGCCAAAAAGGACAGCATAAAATCGAATGGTTCCATGGTGTTGAGGCCTTTGCCCGACCGGCCTGGGTACCTGTTCCAGGCCGGACCTTCTACCAAATTGTGATATAGATTCGACCGGGGGAATATTTATTAATGCTAATTCGCGACGTGCTACGTTTATCTCATAGAACTTTGGTGCCATAGAAAGTGAATGATCCATGTGGCAGGAGTTTTTTTGGTGAAATGGGAGGACTTAAGGGCTGCTCCAGCTGCAAAAGCCTAGTTAACGTACGTGTAACGTTTTGTTAACGTCCCACAAACGTTCCACTTGCACATCGCACGCTTACGAGCTGGGCAAACAGCGCTGTTTTCCCACAAATTCTATACATTAAAAATGAATTGGATTAGAAATATATTTGAATTAAATATATTTACCTTGCCTTACTGTGATAATGTACAGAAGAACTCACTTACTCTGAGAGTTACGTTACATGTTTAAGTGTATATTTGCTACCTTCTGGGTGCAATGTAGTTTGATAGACGCTAATTGCATAATTTTTATACCAAAAATGTAATAAAACTGATTTGTAAACTAACTGGAAATTTATAGTTTTTGCGACTTCCTGGTAAGGCTGGGGATTTCAGGCGTTTTGGCGTGGATAATTTAGTCGTAACGTTTCGCAAGCACGAGTGGCGTGCATCTTCAGAGGTATGTGCGCCATTTGTAAAAAACAATCATCTATACAGATGTGCGAATAATGGCTTAAAAATGAGTGTCTTCATACATTTACCCTCCTTGATTTGAAAATTTGCAACTTTTAACCCTCAGCAAGTAGCAGCCTAAAAT